GGACTTTCTATTTCCCATCAGCGGGATGAGTACAATTGGGGGAAACTACAGCGACACACAGGAAATGTTTTTGTTTACGGTGAAGTGGGAGTTTGGCAGCACGCTAACTTTCCAAGTGAAGGAGTTTGCTGCCATTTTTAACAATGTTTGATAGCCTGTAGGATGTTGGGCAACAGAAAACAATACACCAAGAAGGACGAACCAATCCCAACTCTCTGTCTGTACAGAACACAACACAGGTGTGACATTGCATGCAAACCCTCAACCGAGCAAGTCTTTGTCCTTCAGCATCCCCCTGAGGTTGGATGTAGCTTTTTGTGGCTCAAAGCTCATTTTTTAAACTTTATGATGGGTTTGACACAACCGCGTTTAAACAAATTTATGCTTTTTTTCTAAAAATGGACTATAAACTTATGAAACTAAACCGTAATCTTAAACAACAGCAGTGTTTTGTGCCTCGATACATCTGCAGCCAGATCATTTCAGTATTTGTTAGTGTGACAGTCTGTTTGTGTTGTGCATGTAGGAGCTTTGCATGTTCACCCTGTGGTGGTTTGAGTGTCTTTCGTCTGTGGGCGACTAATTTTAATGTTTTAAATCAACCGTGGGTGTGAATGTTTGCCATGTGATACGCCGGCGACATGTTGAGATTGAGCCCTGCTTCACTTCGAAAGCCGTTCCAGGATTTTATTTTATTTTTTAATTGTTTTTATCAACATTACAAACATCTGTCTGCCAGGGGTATATTAACAGGTACAAAGGTAATAGTATTCAAGTATAAAAAAGAACAAGATAATTATAAAAAGGTAAAAAAAAAAAAAGTCTAAAAAGATACAAAACTATCTATTTATAGCAAAGTCCATGCTCAATAATCCGGGTATAAAATCCAACATTTTTCAGTCAGGTCAAGCTGTTGGGGGAAGAATCAGTTTTGTTGTGCGTTTCCTTGACTGATGAAGCCTTCTGGATCGAAGGCGAAACGTTTCAGCACAAAAAAAGAAACTGTCCAGATGACCTGACTGAAAAATGTTGGATCTATTTATAGGTTATACAGATAAATTCACATTAAGTTTTTCTAGAACTGAGATGGTTTTCATTGCCTTTATGTTTTCAAGTCCTTTAATTGTGGTGCTGTATATGTAAAGTTTCTTGCTGAAGTGGGTTATGCTTGGCTTGGAGTTTGTTGCAAGATGCTTGCTAAAGAGTTGAGTGAGGAGCGTGAATTCTGGTTTATTCTGGTGTGTACGTCTTCAAAACTACTGGTTTTATGCAACCAACAGTTTAAGAAAGGATCATTTGGGTTTGAGTGAACAATATGACAGATTTGAAGAAATCTAAATGTTTTATGGGGAAAGCTTTTCTTTGTTTGTTTTCAGAAAAAGTTCCATATTTTGAGAAGTTAAAAAAGTCACGAAAACCAAAGATTACGGCACAATACAAGTGCTGAACATGTTGATGTCTGAATGGTTTAAATAGTAGAACAGTATTCGCACAATTTAAGTTGTATTCTTAAAAAATAATGGATGAAACAAGTGTTTAACAACTTTTACCCCTCATTGCTACGAATGGAGCAAAAGTCATAGTTACCCTGCAGCCACAGCTCAAGACAGCCGAGGCCCAGATTATGACCCACTTGGACTATACCGCCTCCGCTGGGATACAGCTGCAGCTCTGTCAGAGGTGAGAGTTGAAGATCCTTTACTTATTTTATTTTTATTATACCAGGCGGGACATTAAGAGCAGTTTCATATTTACAACGTCGACCTGGCATGTGCCAGAAGGCATTTTGATAATGAAAAAGCGGGGAACACTACAAAACCATAAACACCATAAACGAAAGAACCATTAAAAACAAACAATAATACAAAACATTAATAGAACATCACTAGGTGATGAAATATTTACAAGAGTCTTTAAAAAAGTTTTTTAAATGTCTTTCAAAAACAGAAACGAACACAGTGCGTCCTTTATTCTCTGCAGCAGTTTCCAGTCATTTGAGGCAGCAAATGCGAAGGACGTTAAACCAAAATGAGACTTGGTCCTCGAGCTCATCAACAACAGATATTTGGATAACCTCGTGTAAAACTTCAAAGCAGATACAGTAACTGACTAAAGTACGGAGGTGAATAGCCCAACAAGAGTTTATAAATGAGTGAACCAGTAAATGTAACGATGGGTACGTGAAGACAGCCATTGAAAAACTGAATTGAATAAACTGCATAATTGAATCACAGAATAATAGATGGTGTCCAGTTTATGAAGAGTTCCACACAAATGTCAATGAATTATGTCTCCATAATCAAACAGGAAGGATGTTTCTTCCACAACAATTCATTTTTCAGCCTGCGAAGAACAATTTCTGTACAAATAACCAAGTCTCACTTTGACTTTTAATTGCAAAACATACAGTATGAACAGGACAGAGCACTGTCAAAGGCAAATTCCCAGATACAGTATATTTAAATACCTGCTCAACAATATCACCATCTTCTGACAGGTTCTTCAGACTGGCATCATATTGCCCAGGACATCCTTGTAAAAGAGATTAATAATCTCAACGGATTTCTTCAAATAAAGGTTTAATAATAATAATAATAATAATGTTTGGTTCTACGGATTCTTTTCACAAGTGAGGGAAGAATGGGGCGTATTAACAGACAGATTGATCCTGCTTCTGCAGTATTGCGTAGGCTGTGTCAGTCCATTGTAGTGAAGATGGAACTAATGTGCATGGTAAATCTCTGTTTACCAGCCGGTTATATGCTCTTACCCTCACATTGGATCACAAAACCATAAGAATGCAATCTTAGATACAACTGGTCGAAATTAGTTCTCTCTGAAGGGTAGCTGAGAAGTTGATTTATCCTGGAGAGACTTGGAGTAGAGTTGTTGCTCCTCCAAAATGAGTGTAGAGGTTGGGGTGGTTCGGGCATCTGGTAAGGATGCCCCCTGGACACCACAGAGGCTTTCAGGCCATATCTAACTATATAGGCAAAGACCCACATGCTGCAGAGACTATGTCTCTCGTCTGGCCTGAGAACGCTTGGGAATCCTCCCAGAAGAGGTGACTGTGGAAGGAGATGTCACCGCCTCCCTGTTCAGGCTGCTGCCGCCGCAGCCCAACTCCAACACAAGCAGTAAATAGATGGATGGATGGATGCTACTAAAGGAAAGCTTCATGTTTTAGAAGTCATTCTCCGCAGTAGTCTATAATCATACATAGCCTAAACACGTTTTTCACTCTTTCATCTGATTAAGTGAAGAAAATCATGAGTTGGATTTATCAAACTGCACAATGCATACATTGTTGCATAACTCTCCTCTGAAACCAGGGGTCAGCAGGTCTAAGTAGGGTCCACACACACGAGCGCGTGCACACAAAAAACAGGGCACACAGTTATAAAGGTGTGTATTTTGTATACATGTCACTGAGATCAGCTAGAATACTCCTCTGTCTTTAACAGGGACTTTGTCTGCTGTGTCTCCTTGAATTCTTAAATTAACTCTTTGTCACTCCAGGCGGGAACAATGAGTCGCTGTCTCCTCTTACAGAACATGTGAGCTGAATGGTGGGAAACAAGCCACACCTAGGCAGACAAAGGAATGCTAAGGTCAGTGCATCACTTAACCGCTGTTGTTGTAAATAAACCAGAGACTCATGAGAATGCATGCAACTCTTTGATTTGTCTGTTTTTGTGCACTGATGGAGTTTAAAATGTATAATTTTTTTATACAGAGCGTTTTCAGCCTGGAGGATTGAAATCAATATCACATTCAGAGCTGTGATTCATAGGTCTTGTCTCTTTAACTAAGAAAACACGTTTTTAGTGTTTTTATTTAGAAAAGTGACAGTAGGTTAAAAACGACATATTTTCACTCTGAAACATGGATATATGAAGCTGCATGTGTTTTAGTATTTTTTACTACTGAAGTGTTGTAAAAATGTTCAAAGCTTCACTGTTGGGCTTGTCGTTTTCCTTTTTCAGTGCAAGTTTTGGTCACTGTGATCCTCTCTAGGGAAGACAAAGAATGGATCAGCAGAGGAATAAATTGTAGTTTGTCCGCACTCCCTTCACTTTTAACAGCATAGTTTGTGTTAATCACTTCCAGTGAAAAGGTTTTCCCACACCCCTCTAGTCTCCGCTCACACAACTATGCTCGTATATCAGGGCTCTGTCTGCACCGTGAGTTCTGGGGCTTAATATTTGGTACCAGGCTCCACCGTGGTGCAGGGACCACAGCTGACTGTCTACTTACAGAAAAAAGTTAACAGTTTTTTCCTTTGAGGGAGCAGCAGATAAGAAGGCTAGATTATGGAATGGAATTTCATATTTCTGTAATTTATAGAAACTGGGTTTTTACCATCAACGAAAATTAATGCTCCACCCAAATATTATGTGGACAAAAAGGCCTTTCCTTTATCACCATGCAGTTTTGAAACTATCTGGTGTAAAACAGGCTTAGTACAAAACTTGTACTTCCCTAAGCTAATGCTGATGATGTAAAGTTTAAGAATTTGTTGTTTTGTTTATATTGAGTAATAATCAGTGCCGGCCCAAGCCTTCATGGGGCCCTGAGCAAAATTTGGTTTGGGGGCCTCTATTTCTGCTAATGATGTGGATTATTGCAATCAACAGTCAGATGATCAGATCATTCACCCACCTAACATAAACTCATTGCAACTCTGACAGCCCTGTTTACATGATCCTATATGTAAATATCATTTAGTGCAGGGGGGTCAAACTCATTTTTACTTTAGGCCACATCAAGCTCATGATTGTCCTCAAAAGGCCGGACATGGCCGAATGCATTGATAAAACTACCTGTTAACAAACTGGTAAAATATAACTTTCTGCATTTGATGACTACTTCTAAAAATTAAATATTTTATGTTTGAGTAATTTGGCATTATAAACATAAAAACGGATTTGATTTGACTGATAAAGTAATACTGAAGCACACAGCTGTTATCTTGAAGTTCTGTTTCTGTGGCCCTCTAGGCTGTAAAGAGCCACAGAAATGGTTATGGCGGGCCGGATTTTGCCCATGGGCCTTGAGTTTGACACATGCGATTTAGTGGTTTTAAAGTAACAAAAGAAAAAATAAATACCAGTATGCAAGGTATTTTACAGCAAAAGTGTCATCTGGTTTATTATCTTTGGTTCCAAAGAACTTCAACAGTAATGTTCAAAACAATTTATAGAGCAAGTAAACAACAAACAACATATAAAATAACTTAGATGCATAAAAATAAAATAAATTGTGCAAAAAAAACCAGACAAAATAAAATTAAATTAAATATCAAGGAAATCCTTAAGATAAGATGAGATAGAACTTTATTGATCCCGTAGGAAATTGTTGTGCCAGAGTTTTTTTAAATAATGTAAATAAACAATTACTTGAAACCACATAAATAAAAAATTAAAAAAAGAAATTTAAATTTGAATAATTAGTTCTTAAAACTATGTATGTATATGCAATACATTGCAAAAGCTAAACTTAAGATATTAAATAGAATCATATAGAAATCATTACTAAAATAAAATCATTTCCACTTAGGGAGCCCCCTAGTGGCCCCAGGGCCCTAAGCAGCCACTTTGTTTGCTTATGCCTTGGGCTGGCCCTGGTAATAATGATGTAAATTATTTGTTTTAACTCCCTTTAATATCTATTGTTGTGGCTCAATTGGTAGAGCTGCCACTTCTCAGCAAGAAGGCTGTCAGATCAAATCCCAGCCAGGGACTTTTCTGGGTGGAGTTTGTATGTTCTCTCCATGCATGCGTTTTTCCTGGGTACCTCTGGTTTCTTCCCACAAACTTAAAACATGCATGTTAGGCTAATTGGTAACTCTGTCCCTGTAGGTGTGAGTGAGTTTGTGAATGGTTGTTTTGTTTCTCTCTGTAGCCCCTTCTCTGCGGACGTGGTTTTATTCAGCTCGTATCAACTCAGCATCAGTCAAATGTGTCTCCATTACCTGTTCTTGCGTGATTTTTGGAACTGCCTCAGCCACGGTTCGAAGCGAGCCAAGCAAGCAATTTTGTTGTCAGCAAACTGCAGCCATTTTTGGCCAAGGTGGTAAATGTAAATGGCACCTTTCTATCGGATACTCAAAGCACTTTACACTACAATCTGTGCCCTCATTTACCCATCCATACAGCACTCTACTACATCTATACAATGAAAAATCAGCGCTTTATCATGTTCATACACCAATGGGGCACACATCGTAAGCAATGAGGTTCAGTGTCTTTCCCAGGGACACTTCGGCATGTGACTGCTGGTGGAATTGAACCCCCAAGTCTTGCATTGGAGGACGACTGCTCTAACCACTCAGCCACAGCCGCCTCACCTTGGTCAAGGTAGTACTTGCAAACTCCTGAAGCGCCATTTTCAATCCAATTGTTGAGTGTATGTGTACATTGCTGAGATGGAGAACTGCAAATCACAGGTTATTCTATGGTTGAATTATGAGGTGCAAACATTGTTATCAAATTTATCAGACAAGCACAGTGTGAACTCGACGGAGCAACGAGGAATGAATGGGAAGTGTCAGAGAAACTGGCCACCCACTGCTACACTGCACACAGGGCTGTGAAAAAAAATTTAATAATGAAGTCTAACTACTGGACAACAAAAGATCACAACATGCAAAGCAGGTAGAACTGGAGGGACTGGAGGTGGTTCACCCCTTGCCCACAATTCCACTTATCCCGATCCCGGGTTTGCAGAACACGTCAGTTTGCAAATGTCCTCCATCAGAGACTGAAACCTCACAGTTCAAAACGCTGAACTTCCTGAGATTTAATTTTAACCCAGGCGTCATGAACATATCTGAGCTAATGATTTGGCGGGGTTCCTGACAAAACTAAACAGCCACTGGCCAAAAGGATGACCCAGCACAGAAGAGCAACATCATCTGGCCAGGTCTCTGAGGTCTACACTCATCTGCAGTCACTCTTTCAGTGATGAAGTTGTGCACATCCTTGACAGAGAGGAACAATGGTTTGAGAGAGGAGTAAAGGAAGCCATCTTTGTGAAGAGAACCTGTCCATCGTTAAACAGGACTGGAGGCTTCATGTTCCACTCTTACAATGCTGTTATTGCTATCACTCAGCCCTCTGTGACTAACAAGCAGCCATAAGGCTGATGGTCCTCCCTTTGCATGTGACTAGTTTTGTCTGTCACCATCAAACTGGTTGATCTACTATGAGAAGATGCTATTTATAAAACTGAGTTTGTTGTAGTTCCTCAGAATAAAGAAGTCTTTTGGATAAAGGACAAAATGTTCCAACAAAGAAGAATCTGTCCAGAAGACCTGACTCAACCTTGTTAGATTTATCTACCTGGATTACTGAGCATGCATCAGGACATTCTGATTAGAGTGGGACTTAACAATGGAGAAGCAGCTTATGTGACCCTGTGATGGACTTGTGACCTGTCCAGAGTGTACCCTGCCTCTCTCACGGTGATGGCTGGACATGGGGACCACCGACCTGGAAAGGAAAAAGTGGGTAGAGATAATTGATTGATGGATGTTGTAATATATTCAGAAGATAATAAAATGGATTTTTATCCACACCACTTTGCTTTCTGAGGTTTCAGTTCCATTTAAACTACATTTACTGTTAAGAAATTAAAATGTGATAATAAACTAGACTTAATAGGCAGACCATAGGCGAAAACTTTTCTTTCAACCTGCAAGGTCAGAGTAAGATTTTCAAAAGTGCTGTTGGTTTAATGTCATCATGTAACAACATTAAACTAAAAGACTGTTTATATTTTAGTGACAAAGGATGAAATCCTTGGAAAAATAGGCGAGATGTCTGCCTGAACACGTAAATCATCCTTTTCAGCTTTCCAAGCAGTGTGACTCAGTTGGTTTACATTTAATGGGTGTGAAAGTATCACACATTTTAATTTTACTAGAAATTTGGGCCAAAACAAGGTTGAATGAATTCAACCAAGTTTCCTAATTTAGTTTATGTAAAGCCAAAGATAATGACAGTGTTTCCTGAACTTGTCGGCTATCTTACAACGTTGACGTCTTGGAAAACCGCTCAATGCTAAGATTTGAAGCAGTCCTGATGAACTTACAACAAAGTTTGCATGAGGAGATTAGAGGTATGGTGGTGGTAAAAGTTGTGTAACCTTCATCTGAGATTTTTTGTGTAGATTGCATTGTTGATTTTTTTCTCTTGCCCACAGAAACCCAAGATTAACATACCCGGTATTACCAGCTCAACATCAACACACGAACTCTGATCGTCTTAGAATTAATTTTTCTTACGAGTAATCTTTTGATTTCAAAATTCCTGTTTATTTTTGTTGATACATGAGGGTGTAGCTCAGGGCAATTTTGTGATCCTGGGTGCGGACAGGACACTATTATTTGCATTTAATAAAATCACCAAAACGCAATTTAACGTGAAGGAAACATCACTCTGAAAGGCATGGATTAGCGTTTGTGTTGCATGTGCAATATTTGATGTTTTAGTTAAAAAAAGACAAAAGAGCCTTTATAAAGTTCACAGAGAATTCACCCACCAAATGTCAAATGGGATCAAATGTTCAGCAGCTCTTCCTTTGCAATGTGAGAAGTTGACCTTCTGACTGGCCGTGTGAGATTGGTGACCCTAAATGTTTTTTTTTCCCCACCAAAGATATGAATAGACATCTTTGTCCAGATAAGTGTTCTTGCTGTGGAGATATTTTGCTTTTACAAGTGCAAAACATAAATTATTTTTTGGAGGTTGCACAAAATGAGCCAGAACACGTTTGCATAACCATCTGCTCGACAGTTTTTTCAAATAACTTTTTAATCTTTTGTGGCACTTTTGTGCAAATGCCTGCTGTAGTCTCGCCACCAGCCCGATGATGTTATGTAACGTAGAGATATTTAACTTGTGTAGACCTTCAAACTCCTTCAGTCTTCTGCAGAATACAAGAGAAAGACATGAATGTCGCTCTGCTGACCAAACATAAAAAGAGACCATCACAAAGGTTGAACTGTTTTACCCCTCTTCATCCTCCCAACACCCTCCTTCCTTTTGGCAGGAACAATGTTGCTGCATTACTTGACTGTTGTCCTTCCCCCCTGATGATTTTCTTCGGCTTTTTTTTACTCTTCTTGTTTGAACAGATGCCGCCCCCCTGCTAAAACCCTCATCCTCTGGGACTGCCATAAGGTCTAGCACAATGAGGTAACCCTCAATTACATTAATGGTGAGAGTCCAGCCCAGTCACTTCCTTCCAGTCAGCAACATCAAACGATACGATGCATATCACTTCCAGAAGTAAACTTGTAGTCTTTTGTCCTTCGTTATTTATGAATGGATTACGAAAGAGGAGCTGCATGACCGTGTTCACCTTTCAGTTCGTCCATTACTGCCTGCAGCTTTTTATAGCACGTCGGACGCAACTCAAGCTAACAAAGACAAAGGATCGCACTTGAGAAAGGACGGGTGAATACAGAAAAGATGTTCAATCAGGGTGGTGAATCTACGAACGACTGAGTCGCAGAGCAGAGACCAGTTCAGCCAAAGTTTTCATCCATTCGGTGGCTCCGCCGGCATCTTATCATCTCGATGCCGATTGGGCGAACTTGAAGATAAGCAGCTGGTGTTGCCTGTAAACAAGAACGGTTGGTGGTTCTTTGGCTCCAGGTGTCTTGTTTCAGACTTTAACCAGTAAAAATGCTTTGAGTGCCTCTGAATCCCAGAGCAATGTCCCCTTTGACCTTTCCCAACTTTAACACATTGGTGCGTTTGAGCTAAACTTTACCAGAACCCTCACGAGCTTCACTTTGCAAATAAGTGATGGCAGGAGATGGATTTAATTGTAGCAGGCATGAGACTGGAACAGCTGGTGGTTGAGTTAATCTGGCCTCTTCTAAAATAGCTTCAACAAGATTTCATCAAATTGACATTTTTCCACACGGTGATGTTTTATTTGTGCTCTAAAAATCTTTGTCATTGCTGCGAAAACAAAAATCAACAATCATCTGATGCAGTAGGAAAGTGCTTTTACCATGACTGTACAGAAGCAAATGGGTGTTTAGCAGCAAAGCTCCATTCTTTTTGTCCCCGTTTCACAATCTTTGACTTCACTACCCTAAACCAGGTAAAGAAAATGGATGAATGGACGACCTTGAGCATGCGGTTTCCAAACTGAGCCCAGATAAATGTAACAGACCCCCTGCAACACACTCATAAAGAAGAAACTGCAGGTGTAGTTTTGTTCAGATTGCCTCTGAGTCAAGTATCTTCACAGACAATATGTGAATTTTACTATATTATTTTTATTTTAATGAGAAAATATTCAGAGGCCTCCACTTGAGGTGTTTTTCTGCTGGCTTTTCAAGCTAAAACAGTCTTTTTAAAATGTTATTAAACGAGCTCTATTTCTATTGCAAAAGGTGGTGTCAAATAATGGATCCAAATCTACGTTCATATTTATTTGCCATTAAAAAAAAAACTCAGGTTCCTGCTGCTAATCTGTTGAGATAGCAGTGAAATCAGAGTCACTGTCAAGAACTGACAAGAGAACCATGAAACGTCTGGTAAATTGAAGAAGCTGACTGATAAGTGGATCTTTAAATGAAATACTTGTACTTTTACAGCATCACTTTAAAAAGCTTGCTTATAGTGCAAACCAAAAGAGGAAATTATCAAACATTTATTTAAAAAAAAAGATTTATGCACCTGCAATGACACTGTTAAAAAACCCGATGTTCTGAATTATGTGTTAATGCAACATTTCAGAACAAACTAAATATACCTGTGTCTTTGTCAGTTTCTTTTGTTTGACAAAATAGATTACAAACAAGAAAAGGGTTTGATACATAAAGTTATTACCTGTAAATGCTTTTATCGTGGAAATATATTTTTAAATAGGGCACTATGAAATTTCAATAAGTATTAATACATTTCTCCTCTAATGTAAATTTTTCTGAAATGAATGATTATTGAGATTGAATGAAGATGAAGATTATGGAAAAGAGTTGATGTGAGGCTGCAGTTTATTTTGCTTTTATTTATAAAAACATGCAACTTTCTTTGCAGTGGTAAATATGTCCAAAAGCATGCATGCTTAGGATGCACACATGCATATCAGTAAAATCATCAGAAATCTTTTGTAACATATGGAAACGTGCATATTAATTACATTTTTTGTTGGATATTGTTATCAACTATCATGTCTAATTTTACATACTTTTATGTATTTTGTGAAAGTATCAAATGTGTCCAGGATGATAAAGTCCAGCACTTTGTACTTCCATTTATCCTGTGAGCATCGCATCATCATCCCTCACTAAAAACACTTATTCTTATGTAGTGATATATGCTTGTCAATGTTCTATGTTATGAGGAGCGTAACTCGTGTCATAAATAAAATCAGCCACATTCCGCCCGCTGTTTCAGCCCTGAAACACGGTGTGTGGCTGTGCCCCATAAGCTGTTCGGTTCCCCCTTTATAACAGGCTCCGCCCTGAAATCAGACGATGAATGTCAACATCACTCTCACCACCGTCTGACCAATCAGCGCTCAGCGAGACGATGGTCCGTGAGGGCAGCAGCCAATCAGGGCGCTTGCTGTCAGAACAAAGGGGGCTCGCGTCAAACCCGTTGGTCGTTCGAATGCCACATTATTCATGTGCGCGTGGTGCTTATTTAAGGAGTCGCGAGTTAGCGGTTTCCCTCCCCCTCTCGTATAAAAGCTAACGGAAACCCTGCTGTCTCTGCACATTCTACGAGCGCCGCGTGGGGGAGATGAAAGGAGTAGGGTGTTTAAATGGTAAAGAACGAAAATTCAAATAAATGTCCTCCACATGTGCAGTAAAACCCTCCTTCCTCCCGGCAAGGGCACGAGAGCCGCCAGGTGCGACGCTAACTATATTTATTAGCGTCAACAACTAATGCAACACTGCAGTTATGAGGCTACTGTGCCAGTTTCAGTTCAACTGGATGAGCATGCACAAAAAAAAGAAATCTTAATAAAACACGTTTTGTGTTCATTAATTCCATAGTGACAAGTTAAATAAAGGCAAACACTGACTTTTATTTCTCTTTACGCTGCCCCTCACCGCCCATGCAGCCTCCCTAACGCCGCTTCCTTTCCGCCTCACCGGCTTCATTATGCGAAGAGGAGGAGGAGGAGGAGGAGTGGGGCTGCTCCTCTTCTTCTACCCCTGGAAGTGCTGAGAGCTGCTGGCTCATTTCACCTCCGCCTCGGAGCAGCTCGGTCCTCCGTCATTTCAGGTCAGGGGGTGTTTAGTTATCTCTCTCCCTCCATTTTTTTTATCTAAAAGTAGTGCCAACGGTTTTATTCCTCCGCCTCGCCGGGAGGAGGACCACGCCATTCCGGTGAAGAGTGAACTTTAAACCCTCTTCCTCACAGCTGCTACTCTGGAGACGGCGAACACCGAGGCTTCACCGGTCCAGCATCTTTTCATCTTCATCCTTAGATAATTATTTTTTTTAGAGGGGGGAGAAGTTATCGTCGACTTCAGTGAAGTTTTTTTTGTGTTTTTTCATTGGCATCATGACGCGGAGATCCTGTGCCATTTACGCCACCGGCATCGTCTGCGCTCACCTCCTGATAGTGGGGATCGCCCTGGTGGTGGCTCAAGTCTTCCAAACGATGATCCACAGCCGGTTAAAACAGGTAAGCCGAACCACATGAATCAAACTCGACATTTTTAACGTTTTTTGTGCTTCTCGGCTGCTTTACAACCGACAGTTTTAAACGTTGGAAGTGTTCATCCGCGGTGATGCGGATTCAGGGATAAAGTAATTCCGTTTAGCTGCTTTTCATCCGGTTTTTGTCGGGTTTTGTGTCCTTACAGCCTCAATTCGGTCCACATGATTCACTTTTCTGTTTAGGGCGGATTTTGTTTTTGTCAGCTCAGGAAAACCTAATGAATGGAAAGTGAAAGAAATCCCCAGAAACTCCCACACTTGAGGGGCAATTATGAATATATGGCACCCAGGTGAGTCTCACCTAATTGAATGGCGTTTTCTAAACCTAAACTGCAGTTCAAACCTCACCTGCTTTTTTCTTGGTTGTTTTAAAACTAATAAATGCTGTGGCACTTTTAATATATGGATGCAGGCTTCATTTGTAGGAGGTTCTGGTAGATGTCTGGGTGAGGTGTGCAGAGGTCTTTGGGACTGGAGTCCTGACTCTCACATCCAACTTTGAGTCAACTCGAGCCATCAGCAGCCAAAGCTGCAATCATTTCCCCAAAGGTGAATGTTGTGTTTTTGTAGCTTGGCTCTTGAAAATGCCTCGGCATGCAGCACTGTCCCCGCTGACTCATTTTAAGTTGTACCACAGTGTTTCGGTGTATTCACAGGAATGGTGTCAGTCTAATTTGACATTGGGTCTTTCTAAAAGCAGAATGTCTGCTTGTTGTTGCAGTTTGGGACAGCGTGTGGGTGATGGAGTGGGGTGGGGTTGTTGGCAGCTGACACATCCCTGCAGAATTACTGCCCTTTAAAATGCCTCGCATTCCTCTTTTCCTAACATGTATCGTGTTGGATTGTACTTGTTTCACCACTGCCAGTTCAAAGCATCAGCTTGTTCCTGCTTCTTCAGGAAGTTCATCAAAGGGACAGAAACGGGTCCAAATAAAAGCTTGAGACGCTGTCCAAAAAGTCCTGCACACATCTGCCCCGCTGACACAGTGGGATGAAATGTAGGTCCAAATCAGGGCAGCATCCCAGGAGACCCAAATCTAGAGAGTTAGGCCAAAGTTGCTCACCAGGGGATTTGATGCAGCTGGCGATTACATGAAATGACACATCACGGATAATCCTCTTTTTGTGCAGCCTTCCATTGAATTAGGTTGAGCCAAACGTTTTGAATGGACTCTAAAAAAAATCGGTCCAGTTGTATGCCAGATGTGGCTATTCAACCCATGCAGAGCAGCTCCAGGACACTTGTGCGGGCGTGGAGGGACGTACAAAAGTCTAACAATCTTGGCCTTGAGGGCACGCTTTTTGCCAGAGAGCAATAATTCCTTGTTTTTCCTGCTTTAGCCAAACGCGAGTTCTTCGGCTCGTATGACAAACTGAAGAGGAAAAAACGCACACCCACTCACGCCACTCCCTGCAGGCATGTTTGGAAGTGAAGACTTTTCACTGAAGTGTAATCTCTTTAAGGATAAGGTCATTCATCTGAAGTCTGCTTTAATTAAAAATGCACCCACAGATTTTTAAAACGAGTAATTTTTTTTTTAACTTCAGTTGATCAAACGAGAATCTTGTCATGCCACAAACTGTTTATTTCAGCTTTTCATTCAGTCGTTTGAGAACGCTGGCTTTTTGTTGGAGGAACAACATTTTATTTTTTTATGTTCTAGGATAAATGCCATTTAACCTGGCCAAAGGTGTTTTTAAAATAACTTTTGTTCAAGGTTTGCAAATGCAGGCTACCGTGTAGTCACACATTCAGCTTCTAAAGATCAACCAGACAACGTTCAAAACCAGAAAGATTTGCTTTTTAATTTTTTTTTTTTAAGAAAAAGGAACTACATTACTGTGTTTTTCTCAGATGTTCCAGTTTATCGGCTGATCACCCTCTCTCCACGCCTTGTCTTGGTTTCATTTCAGCTTTTAATTAAGAAGCAGACTCATCAAGACTCGAGGGGGTCACACTTCTTTAAATACCTCTGGCTCCTTGTAGATGAGATTTCTGGAGAAGCTGTTTCAGAGCTGTGATGTCAAACTAAAACAGCGTGTTCAGTCATTTTAAACCAGTCTTGAATATTCACTAAAGACTCTGCTTTTCAGGTTTTGTCTTTTTATCTTATCATCTTTGAGAGTTGTCCAGTTTAAGACTAAACAAGATGTCATTTGATGATGTAATTTTTCTGTTTTGCTTGTCCATCCACAAACCGTTCAGACTCTCTTGGTAAAGAGGGTTAATTTAGTACAGCAGATTTAAATCAAATTAATTTACCGGTTTTCTTATTTCAGCAGATGTGAATCCTCTATTTGACCTTTTTTGTAAACTGATGGTGGCTGTATTCTGATCTTTTAACCTCTAAAGAACTTTCCTAAAGCTAAAAATATACAAGGCACAAAAGTAAAACGAGTAAAAAAACAATTCTTTTGAATGCTGGAAGTGGTAACACAAACGGGAAGCGTTAGGCACACCCCATTCTATATTTTGTCAGCTGTAAGAGTCTGAAAGCACACAGAAGACAATGTATGGCTTCTCTAAAGTGCACCGCTCTGGAGAGCAGAGGGATTTCAGGAACTCCAACTTCATGATGGGAAGTGGGACGTTTTTCCCAAGTTTTAAAAATATCCCTGAAATAGTTTGATCCTTTTCAGGTCGTTAAACACTTTGAGTCATGTTGTGATCTCTTCTTCCACACCTGAGCGCTGCTGGTAAAACAGACCAGTTCCTCATGTTCAGACATGTGGGAACCAGGTTTTTTTTTTTTTTTTTAATCACTACTTATTTTCCATGCTTGTGTTATTGACACGATCAAAGCAAAACCATCTTGAAAGTAGGGCTGCACATTCTACATTTATTGTCGTAGCAGCATCAGAACATGGACTTCAATAAATCGTAGGCCATTAATTCATGTTCTGCAAAATATTTGATCAATCCTAACTAGGGCTGTTCATCTAAATTGCTCAGAGTGCCACAGTTCCTGAAAGCCAAGAGCTCAGGGGCTCAGCATCCAGCAGTTATTGTCATTAAGTAAGTTTTGTTTTATGGTTTAAAATCTAGTTTTGTTTAAAAATGAACCCATTGGTGTTGAACTGAGCTCACCTGTGAGCCTGATTTGGCCCCTGGGCCGCTAGTTGAATAACCTTCTATAGCAGGGGTGTCAAAACTCTCTTACAAAAGGGGCCAAAATTAAAACCTTTTTCAAACTAAGGGCCGGTTTCAGAGTCTACATGAACTCAAGTTGGATACCCAACATCTTTTCTTGGTTGCAGGTTCCTCAAAAAGAGTTTGATTGGTCTCATTTGACATTAACTGTTTCACTTGTGACATCATAATCAAAGATTACTGAAAAAAAAATAAAGTGCAAAAAGATAAGATGTCAACAAGGGCCACATTTGGCCCCCGGGCCTCGAGTTTGACACGCGTTCTATAGACTCTCCGCTTTGATATTTTTTTTTTTTAGATGATATCAAGTTCAAGTAGGTTTGTCATTCTCACCACATGTGGTACATGAGGTGGAACAAAATTATGTACACAGGGTCCCAGTTACACCCAACAATAACAAAAATGTAAAGTGTGAATAGAAACGGTATATAAGGATCGAAGGTATACACTAAGATGTGTGACAAACGGCACGCTAAAAGATCCAAGACGCATGCCGAGCACCAATAATGCAACATGGTGAGCAGCATGGGCTTATCACAGTTATCATTTAATTGTTGACTTCTTGTATCGTAAGTTTTTCTAATAGTGTGCGTCTCTACTTGAAAGTAATTTGAACAAGTGAAATTTTGCAACTTTGCTTAGTTGTTTTGGCGTAATGTTCTAAACGTGTGCTGTCCTGTCACTCTTTACGTAATTTGGTGTTTACTGCTTCTAAATGCAGCTTTTGTCCTGTGTTCTTGCAACATGGTGCGGTGTGCTCTGACGGACTTTTCTCTGCGGCCCTTTTGGGTTCAAGTCTTAGCCAGGCACCAGCTCATCACTGAAAAGTGCTGCTCTTCTGAATTGTGAATGGCTTATAAAAAGCCCACAGTAACTGGGAACCTGGTGTCGTTACCATCACTTTCTTGGTCAATAATAATGCAGACATTTTGGGGGATGTCGTAATGTTTCTCAGTCTGAACTTGTTTTTCTTTGACAGGAACTTACATTGACGGAGAAGAGTAGAGTTTTTGAGTCATGGAAGAATCCTCCTCCTCCTGTTTACATGGAGTATTACTTCTTCAATATCACCAATCCCGAGGTGTTCCTGGCAGGAGGGAAGGCATCTGTCAAACAGATTGGCCCGTATACGTACAGGTAAGGCTCGTGTGAATGGAAACTCTATTTCTAAGACCCAAGGACAAAACTGATCAATGTTCTGTCTGCACCAGGGAGTACAGGCCACGAGAAAATGTAACTTTTGTGGAGAACGGGACCAAAGTTTATGCCCTGAACCCCAAAACTTTTGTCTTTGTGCCCGAGAAATCCGCCGGCGACCCCAAGGTCGACATCGTCAGAACCATCAACATTCCACTTGTGGTGAGACGGATGTCTGTGCTGCATTGTCTTTAGATTTGACAGGCTGTTTATTGTTTCTTCCAACACTGTTTTTCCTCCAACACGCCTCATGCCATTGTCTCGTGACATTTTCAGACGTTGTTTTATGTGATGGAAGCTGCTTAACCTTTTTTTTTCTTTTTCACCGTTTGTTTTTGTTAGGCGGTCATGAACGAGCTGAACTCCTACTCCTTCTTCCTTCGAAGCATGGTCTCCCTGTACCTGAGCGGCATTGGCGTAGACCTTTTCATGACCCGCACTGTCGACGAGATTCTGTGGGGCTTCAAAGACCCGCTCATGACAAAGATTCACTCCATGAAACCTGAAGTGGATGAATACTTCGGGCTGATGTGGAAGGTGAGCCTGGTTGCAGCGAGGATTTTATATTTTATTTTTCTTAGTGCAAAACCCTTGTTTTATTGACATGTTGCCAAAACGATAAAAGGGAAGTTCGTTGTAATGTCACCTAAGAAGTGACGCTGCCTCAATGCTGATGGAAGGTATTCTTGCTTCCTGTTAATAGAGGAACATCTGCGGCCTGTCACAAGCAGCAGCGTAATCATGTTTACTGCAACATTTAGGATCACAAAGACAGACCTGTTGGTCCACAGAAAATATTCAGATTCCTCGTTTTTGCAAAAATGGAATAAAATTTGTTTGTTCTCATATACTTTTCTGTCAAGTATCATTAAACCAAATCCAGAAGCATCAAAATAAACAGCACACACTTTTTTACCATATTGTCCAGAGAGGATTGATCATTTTTGACAAAAGCTTATGGTGATTGTAACTGTAGTCTCTCCGTATGACCCATTAATGTGAAAACTGGTATTTCTACTCTTAAAGGCTGTTTGTTGGTGAAAAAATATAAGGCAGTTTTATTTTTTTTCCTTCTGTCAGGCATAAGCGCCATTTCTGAGAGTTTCCTGATCTTTGTCTGTTTTCCACAGAAAAACGGCACTCATGAAGGAGAGTTTGTTTTCCACACCGGTGAGCAGAACTACCTGGATTATGGGAAGATCGACACGTGGAATGGCCTCAGGTAAAGTTGTGTCAACCAATCTGTCTGTGACATGAGATTTGGACTCCGCTGCATTCGTGCTGTCCTGAATAACGTGAAACTGTTTTTTATCAGCTCCTTACTCCTGCTTCTCTCTGTTCACTATAGCCAAATGCACTTTGTTACACAACCTGCATCCAAAAGGAGAAACTCTTTGCTCCGTGGCTTTTAGGTAGAACAAGATTGCAAAATGGATATTTGAATACCCAAAGCGAGTCAAAGTGCACAATTGACTTCAGTCGACAAGAGCGAGTTGAAACCAGTTCTGTAGTGAAATTGGTTTCAACTAAATTAAGTCGAACAGTATTTTTATTTTTTCCAGTACGCTCCAGACCCAAAATGCATCAAAGAAGTTGTAAATGTTTGTTGAATAAAGTAAGAAAAAAGTATAAATTATATTAGACTTCTGCTTCTGTGGAGAACTGTTAACTAGAGCTGCACCATTTAACACCGTTTTAGTAATCTTGGATTTTATTTTAGTCAGTTTTAATAAAAAAATGTTAAGTACTTTGATTCAGCTTTTGAATTGTGATTTATAAAAACTATTGTAGATGTTTGACTTTTTGTTAGATGAAGTGTAGGGGGAATGTCGTGAGCATTAAAAAATATTTTTGACTGAAATTTTAATGAATATGCCAACTGAAAAAGTAATTGGCAGGTAAACGGCGCATGAAAATAATAATTTTCCTTTTTTGTGTGTGTGTGGAATCCCAATCTGATAATCACTTCTAATCAATTATGTGATTATTTTTAACTAAATTTGAGGCTGTTCCTTTCTACTGTTTTCCAACATTAACCTCTGGACTCTTTACAGGAAAATGTCGTGGTGGTCTTCAAATCAGAGCAACATGATCAACGGGACGGACGGCGCGGTCTTCCACCCGCTGATCAACAGGAACGAGCTGCTATACATCTTTGCTGCAGATCTCTGCCGGTATGCGTGATGTGTTTTTTTTGGGGGGGGGGGGGATTTGTTTACAGTCGCAGCATTCTGTCACAGTGGAGAGGACAAGGACTTCCAAAGAAGTTTATGGTAGGAAATGGCAGTTGAGTCATTCACGCAGCTAATTCACTGATAAGAACATCCTTTTACAACACATGATAAGGCTGAGAATCGAGTAAAACCACGAGGGAGAGTTTGTCCTGCACATACCAGGGTTTATTACTCTTTCTCTTTCTGCACATGATGCATCAGGCTCAGGTGGTTTGAAGGATTCACAAGCTGCTTGCTTTAAGTGTAAGCGTTCTCGCTGTTTTTTTTTCTTCAGATCTATTCATTTGGCGTATGTGAAGGATGTGGAGGTGAAGGGAATCCAGGCATACCGCTTCGCGCCCCCCAATGACGTCCTCATGAACCCCAAAGACAACCCCACCAATGCTGGCTTCTGTGTGCCGGCGGGAGACTGCCTCGGCACCGGCGTGCTTAAAGTCAGCGTTTGTCGAGATGGTATGACCCTCCTCTTTGTTCTGGCCCAGTTACCCATCACCCCCTTTGATCAGCCTCATGACACAGTTTCTTCTGTTTGCACCTCTTCCCAAAAAGATAAGATCCTTTTGGTCAGTGACCTCGTCCTCCTGGTTTATATCTGACATTTCTGAGCACGTCAGGTTTTACTCAGCAGCCGTTCAATGATTAACTGTCCTGATTGTGGAGGTTATGAAGGATTTTTATGGTGGTCATCGAGTGGAGTCAGATTGCTCTAATAAAGTAATCTCTTCTCTGCGTGATTTATGAAGCCAGAAGATGATGGCTACTGTGGCTTTTTAGTTCCGTTTACCTAAAATCTTATATTTGAACTTTTATTCCACCAAATGTGAGTGTTTAAGGCCAAGTTTGGTTTTGAATCTTTTAACTTGTTCTGGTTCGTCAGCTTCACTTCCTCTCATTTCACACGAGGAAAACCTCGTCTGATTGGTAGGATTTTCTTGTGACGCTTTACTGACGGCCAATCAGCATCGAGCCCTGCTGCGAAATCTCATTCTGAAACTGGGTGTGAGGTTTTTGTTTAAAAAAAATAATAAAGCAAAAACGTTTGATAGATTTACAAGTCCACTTTTAAACTTATTCTTTCATTGCAGATTAGTTTTAAAATAAAACGTGTGGTTTATTTATTGAATAAGAGTTTTGTTCTTAAGGAAACTAGTAAAAATATGACACATGTAGATTGGGGTCAAAACATCTGGTTTGGGTTTTGTTGGGACAGTAGCTACACAAGTTATCTGTACTATAAGTCATTGTTTTTGTATTTTATATATATCTCCTAACCATTTCAAAACGAAGCAAAAAGAACTTTACATAAAATTTGAATAACCAAATCTTTGCTAAACTCTCCTTTTAACACACGTTAGTCTGGCACCTGGACATATATTGGTTTACATGGTTTGCATCTCAGTTCTTCAGACTGCTGGTCTTCACTGGACTTTCTAAAGTTAATTTATTACTTCCAGCTGTTATTCATTCCTGGGGAGTACAATTTTATGTATTTTTTTTTATGAATGATTTGTAGACTCAAGGAATTTATATAAAAATCTTTTAACATTATTTATTTATTAGTTTTGTTTCCAAGCCGAGTGATGCCTTCATGGTGCAACTTTTGTGTTGTAAATAGGCTCATTTATGTTGAGCGATTTTTGTTTAGAAGAACGAGACGGTAACATTGTCCACTTCAGGTTTGAAAATACGAACCCCGTTGCAGAATTAAGCTTGTAGTGTAAAGTTTCCTGTTTTTTTTTGTTTTTTTTTGTTTTTATTCTGGCCGTTTATGAAGCTCAAAACGGGACACCCACATTCTTCTGTCATCTGCACACTATCACTTGCAGATAACGGCCGTGTGTTTACTTGATAAGACGCTGCACAGTCCGGTGGTTTATGTCTCGCATCTCCTCTTTAATCTATTTTTGACCCTTGTTGTTTATTCTAAGTTGTCTTGAGACATAAACACACCTCACACGTGCGTTTTCTCATTTGTATCCAGGCGCTCCCATCGTCGTGTCCTTCCCCCACTTTTATCAGGCGGACCCTGCGTACATTAATGCTGTCGACGGGCTCAACCCCAACGAGGAAGAGCATGAGACGTACCTGGACCTGCAGCCGGTACAGCACTTTTTTTTTTTTTTTTTTTTTTTTAGTAGCATCACAGATTAGAACCAGTGTTGAACTTTGATCTGTTTGACTTATCTAAAAAAAAAAAAACATGATTTATACCCAGTGGTTTAGTTGTTTTGGTCAAAATACATTAAGATTTAATGTTAAATTCAATCTATAGGTATGGTAGCCATTTTATTTTTTAATACAGGCTGCGTTATTAAAGTATTACTACTTAAGAATGTGAGTTTTGTGTGTGAAAAGTTTCTGATTGTAAAGATCATCTTTCTTATTCCCTTCCAGACCACAGGGGTTCCCATTCGTGCCTGTAAGAGAGCTCAGCTCAATGTCATTCTGAAGAGAGTCCCAGGCTTCCCGTAAGTTCGCTGAACTCCGACCCACTTCGCTGTTGCCACACTGTCGACATTTGGTCCACATGTTGTGCCAGATGTTTTCTGACCTCTTTGGGTTTTTTTTTTTTTCTGTCCTTCAGCAAAACGAAGCACATCAACGAAACCATTTTCCCCATCATGTTCGTCAATGAGGTGGGTGCTCCTCAGCTCAGTTTATTTTTTTCCTCCCAGTAATCTTAAATGAACCACGTATCGATACGCTCTTCTCTCCCCGACCGCAGACCGCAACTATTGATGATGAGTCGGCAGTACAGATGAGGCAGCTGCTGCTCATCGTGACTGTTGTGTCCAACTTCCCCTTGCTTATAGTGGGAATGGGCATCATCCTGCTACTGGTGCTCGTCGTCTTGTTCTGCCGAAACCGCCAGAAGAAGGTGGGGTGCAGCGCTTTCACTTCCCACTGAGCTTTAAATTAATCCTTAGTTACTTAGGTTTATTCTGCCCACTGACAGTAGTTCGGTAGCCTGATGATAGTCACATGTCGCAGTAAACTAGGTTTAAGGTTTTGACTGGGTTTTTGCATGTTTTACAATTTCCTGCACCAGCTGCTGCACGTTTTAACCAAAGTCATGCACATGCTAACTAACATCACAAGATTAATGTGCAACGAAGCCAGCATGAGCGGTTTTCTATTATTCTGGATCAAAACAATGTTTGTTCATTTGGGCTGCTGTCGGTTCTTTTCATGCTGAATGTTTTCTAACTATTTGACACATTCAGGAAATGGGTCTTAGCTTCTTTTTTAGCGATGCGCTGGTTTATCTGCAGGTTGTTGAACTAGAGTAACCCAAGGATGATGTGTAGTACACACTCGTCCTTATCTCCTGTAGTGAAAAATCTGTGGGGTTGAACTGTGGCCTCACCACTCTGAGGTTACATCAGTAGTTCTTGTTATTCACAGTCCAAAAGGGAATATGTTTAAGAAACATGTCGTGCCTTATTGGGAGTAAAATAAAAATTAAATCCACTTTGGTGTCTGTATACTGAGTGTGTAGCGATCGCTAAGCTAGTCTACAAACATAAGTTCTTTATGGGTGTAAAAAAATAAAATAAAAAACTCGGATACCTATTAATCTTTTGTTTTTAAATAAAATGTGCAAGATAAAATCTTCATTTGTGCTTCTAGTATTTGGGTTTATTACCTTTTTGGACAGAACAGGTTAGCTTTTTGGTGTTCGATTCCAAAACTGCTTAAATCTAAATCCAAGCTTTAATCTTTAAGTTTATCTTTGTCAAAATGTTGAAATGTGCTTTATTGCAATGTGATGTATTGTATTAACCATGCTCTGATTTTTAATTTTCTGTTTTAACCCCCGTTTTTTTCCCTTTTCTGTTTTTATAGAATGAAGTAAAACGTATTGATTTTAATGAAGCTTTTCATTCTTTTGCTGTAAGTCTTGAGTTTTGCCTTGTTTATAATTTGTTTTTAGTTTGTTATCCATCATTTCTGATTATTTTTAATTGCCTTTATGCATCATGACATTTATTTATGTTTGCTTTCTCTGTAATTCATTATCTTATTTTATGTGGTGGTTTTTGTCTTAACTTGAGCACACGCAGATCTGTTATTTATTTTGTGGTTTTCTGTGAACATTTTAATCAAAACATTTACTCGAGTTTTAATGTTTCTCTGAATTATTATTATTATTATTATTATTATTATTATTATTATTATTATTATTGGGACATTTTCCATTTCTTGTCTTGTATTGACTTTGTTTCACCGGCTCTTCCCTCTCAGACGGCGAAAGACGACACGGCTTACACGCCGGTCAGCGACAAACCAGACGACTCGACGGAAAAGGCAGCCAACCAGCCGACGAAGAACGGCTCCTATATCGCCATGTCTCCAGTGGAGGCCCAGAAGTGTTGATTGATGGTTCCACACCCCTTCCCCAAGCGTGGCGATCAGGAAGGGGGTCGAGGGAGCAGCACGGGGGTGTTGAGTTACCACGGGTGGGGAAAACAGGGACACAAACCCCAGTGATTCAGTCAACAGACATTGATCCTCTTCTGTCTATTCTCCTCCACTCTACCCGCTGAGCATGGCTGTCACTGCCTGCGGCACTGCAACACCACCAACCTCCCAATCTTAAAAAACCCCACCACGTCTATCCTGGTTGGCCTATAAAGAGGACTTCAGTGGGGGGGAGGTGGTGCTCAGCCAGGAAAAAGCCTTTTCCATAATTCTTCTGTGGGAACAAACTTGTAGGTGTTGCTGTTGCACACGAATGTGCGAGCTTCTGAGCGGACCCCGACAAACTTCAGAGTGTTTAGCGTTGAAACGAACAACAACTAGGGAGGTGTTTAACTTCTGTCCTTCTTTCTGTCCACGTTAAAGCGAGGAGAAACCTTTTGAGCCTTCAGATTACAAAGCCCTTGTGAAGCAGATCTTTACGACAAACATCTGAGATCTAGGGTCGGATATATACATTTTAAAAAAGGGTTTTGCTAATTAAAATTAACTTAGCATATTTTGTGAAGCGAACAGGAAACAAAACAAACTGAGCCACACCAAAAGAATTAGCCTTTATTTTTTTTTCTTAAGACAGGTCTGTGCACCCAGATGTTCACACCTCTCTTCCACTAAACTGTGCGCCGTTATTTCACACCTTTAATAGCCTGTTTTTTTGGGTTTATCTTTGTTTTTATAATCGAGTTGTTTTCGTCCCAAGTAGGCACTGTGTAGGATTTAAAACTGAAATACTTGTGATTTTAACCCTTTCCTTCCCTAAAACGCTAGTTGAAAATGTTCATAGATCTAGGCTATGTTTTATTTATCAGGGCTAGAATAAAGAATGGATAATATTTAGGTTTCGTCACATTTCCAGCAAAAAGAAGGAAGAAAGAACAAAAAAAAACACCCACCAAACTTACAAGGGAGACTTGAACCTGCTTTCTGCCTTACAGTAGTTTAGCATGTTCTTCATGTTCGTACACTGTTCAAATAAGCTGGAAATACTTTATTGTACAGATGTAAAGAGGAACTATTTGACCAAATCCAGCCCGTCGTCCTGGACGCGCTGAAAGACACTAACTTGGTTGCAGTGTTGATGCTCCTACATGTCTACACTGTTATTAGGAAAAAAAGCACAATTTGGATTGTTAAAACCAGTCTGTACACAAAATTACCAGGTGTTTTCCTTTCTCCCAGTTGTTTGTGCAGCTGAGATATATTTTGTCAGAGACGCTGTCGAGGTGCTGTGACCATTATGAGTTGTCACTTCGCTCTGTGTAATCCATCAGTTTGCCAATGAGCTGCAGGCGTTCAGGCCTACACAGCACGAGAATCGCTGTTCTTACGTTTTTGTGTTCAGCTCTTCTGTCGGCCGCATTTTCCCCACCTCTTGTCAGACCTGCTGGTTGTCGCCAGTAGGGAGTAGATTTAAGGCCATAATGGTGTCAGCCTGACAAAATCCCTGCACTTTGCCTGGAAACTGTGCCACTATATTTCCATTGTCTTTGTGTTTTTGTTTCTTGTCCCGTATGTTTCAGTGCTAGTTGTGTCGAGTACATTTCAATGAGTAGTATTGTTCGTGTGTGGGTGAAGCTGGTTGTCGTGGGACAACGAGCGTCCATCCCTCTGTTACCTGCTTTCAGCACACAGTGTCTTCTTTTGATACACTTTTTTGATTTGTTATTGCTGCTAAAATTGCCATAACATTTGTATTTGTACATGTGGTGTTTACCATGATGTGCTCTCATTTGGTTTCAGGTTGATCCGCAGGGGCTTTAATTCAAAACCTTTAAATCTTGAAGGCTTTTGTGTTGCCAACCTTTTTTAACACCTGAGCACAAGATGCAACGCCCAGAGCTTGCTGCCATTTAAAGGCGTAGATTTACCACGATCACCTAAAGCCATTCATTAATAGACTGGGATCAAACCATACGTTTCATTATGGGGTGGGGGGGTGTATTTTATTAGTGAACTTTCCTGAAGGCGCCCAAAAGGGTCGAGCCACTCCTGCATCATCCTAGACTGGGAATGGACGACTGATTCTGGGACAGTTTGGTGGAGAGTGAAGTTTTACACCATTATTGCTCCAGCAACTATAAGTTGTTTGGATTAAAGCAAAGCTCAGCTCCGGAAAGTTCCCGTAAACCCTTCTGTACTCTAGACTTTCCCTCTGTTAAATTAATCAGCCTCTCACTGAATGAGCATACGAGGGCCATTGAATTTAAAACCACAAAGTAAACACCCAGCAGTGTCAAAGTCTTCATCTCATGTGAAACTGACTCACTCAAAGGTCCTTTCGTATTCCACCTAAATGGTTGTAGCTACCACCTTGTGCAAACGCACAGTTCACAGTTGTTCACCTTTTTTTAATGATTATCTTTAACCTGAAAGATCTAACTCCAAAGAGCAGTGTTTCAAACACGCCTGAGCCATCACAGCTCCACCACGCTGACCTCGGGTCCAGTCCTCCACGCTCATTGGCTCGTCCCGTTTGACCAAAGATAACAGTATAGATCCGTCTGGGCGCCTGCGTTTACTTTCTGTGATAACAGCTGTGCCACAAAACCGCCACCGCCTACCTTTTTAGATTTAAAAAAAAAAAATTGTGCCACCACTTTTGTAAAATATTTGCATCAGTGTTGTGTGAATGCTGTGTGTGTTTGGCCTTTTACATCAAGGCAAAAACAGAAAATTAAAGAGTATTGCTTTTTTTTTTTTTTTTTCCTCCCCACTCAATGCAAACAAAATCGATGCTCTTTATAGAGCAGGAAAGAAAATCTCAGTATTATTGTAAAAACAAAGCAATACAAAGTTGTGTGTATCAAACTGGATGTTTTTCAAGGGGCCACACTTTATTTAACTTGTATTTTTCCTTCAGTTGCGTTAGATTTTCCTAATGTAGAAGTACTTTTTTTTTTTTTTTTTTTTTTCTGTAGACTGATTTCGTCAGCTTGAGGTCAAGCTCATTTCATCGGTTTATCATTTCATTTTTATCACTGGAAAATATAAATAAAACGTGAACCAGTTTGTGATGCTGGGAACAGAGTTGTACAGAGTCTGTAAACGTTACGAGTTGTTCAAGTTTTGTGTTCGTGGGGAAACGATGCAACATTTCTGACAAACTGGAGCGATTCGCTGGAAGGCTGATAATCTTGACTGAAGCGTTGAAGCAGTGGAACATTTTTTATTAGATGAATGAAGCCCTCCTTCGGTCATGAGCGCTAGTGCCATGCCGTTTATTTTATTTTTCTCTTTTTGTAACAGCCACGTCTCCTCATTTCAATATTAACACATTTCCATTTCAACAAAACTAATTATTTTATTTTGTTTTTGCTGCTGAAGATGACAATCCCCACCCCTTTTGTCATACTGGGTGCAAAATAATTTCAAAAGTAATATTCATTTTTAGTTTTGATAATTTACAGTGCACAGATGTTTATACCGTGCTTTTGTAAACATTTCTAGTGTATTTGCAGAAAATAAAAGTTGCAGTTACGTGCAAAGTTCAGTCGTGTAATTTGTCTTTTTTTTTTTTGCCTCGGGACAGGTTGAGAGCAGCCGAAGTTTAGCTTTGCAGAAGATTTTGTTTCACTGTAAGACTTTTTGAGCTAAACGTTTGTGACGTTGGGTCAAAAGGATTTGCGAGGCCTCGTATTGTAGCGGGGTGTTGTGAAAAGAAGTTTTAGTTTTGCACAAAACCTAACAATTCTTAGACTCTTAACTTTTTCATCACGTTGACATGAAGTTTTTATGTTGTACTGATTTATGTAGTTTCACTTTTTGTAAATGGTAAAAGTACTGCAGGTTTTACACTTGAGGAAAAAAGTATAAAGCTTTTTTTTTTTTAAATAAAAGATTTTGTAGTTCAGTTATTATAATAATACGCCGCTCAAAGCACAGATATACTTTGGCTTTTGTCCAGACCATAACTTCTGATCTGCTCAACATGATAAAACTTGATAAACATTTCTACCACCACTAGACGGTGTGTCGCGTATTCTCATCACCCCGGCTCCAAGGTCAAGTTCACAAATCAAGGTCAAATAATTTTCAAGGTCTTTGCTTGTCCATTGCTTTAATTGCTGTTTAACAGCTTGTCGGTGGCGTTTTAACGTGCCACATGTGGTCCTCTTGTTTTAACCTGGAAGTTTTTCTGATAAACTAAACACAAGCAAAATTAAATTAAAACTACTAAATCAAACTATTTATTTATAGCTTTATATTTAAAATTTGTCAGTGTTACATGTAGGTAAATTTACTAAAAAAAAAAAGCATTTAGCTAATGAATGTGACTTTTTAGTTTTTAGCTTGTTTTTTTGCCAACGCACTATCAAAGTTCATGCTCAATCATTCAGGTTCCACATCCAGCTCGCTTAGGGCATCTGGACAGTTTCTTTTTGTAACAAGAACCCAAAAGCTCATACTCAAAGAATTCATGTACTTTTGTTTATTGAAATAAAATACTATTGAAATGAATATTACTATTAGTAACTGAAACTTGACCAAAATACTTAGTTTATGTTTGTTAAGCTGCTAAGCTTTAGAGGTTGTTTGTTCTCACTTGGAGATATTTTGATTGGTTTGGAGGGGGGGCATTTATACAGTTTTAAATAGACTGTAAGGGTGGTGGCGCAGAGGTTGGAGAAGGTGGGCCTGTGATCGGAAGATCGCTGGTTCAACTCCCAGTACACAAAAAAAAAAGTTTTGTAAGCTCAATCATCCAGGTAGATGACAACAATTGTTAAATCATGTCATCTGCAACCTGTTTAAGTGAAGAAAGGTTTAGTTCCCCATCCAGAGGACTTCTTCAGTCTGCAGGTGTGTCAACCAGATCTGTCCCATAGGTAGCCTTCATTGCTGTTTCGAGCCGACGACCTGTTGGAATCTCAGAAGCAGGTTTTTAACACATGCAAACAGCGCACACCCATCCAAAACCATCAATCATCATTAACAACAATCAAGTGTTTTAGGCCAGGTGGCCAACTCAAAATGTGGGTGGGAAAGGTAGAGCACCCACACCTGCCTCCACCCTCACTTGCCCCACTCTGGGCCTTTGAGCAAGGCCCTCAACCCCTACCATCTGCTCCCCCTGGGCGCCCTATAGCAGCCCCTTGCTCCACACAGAGGGCTGTGGTAGCTCGGTGGTCCGTGGTTACGTCAGGAATTGGGCATCTGGCGTAAAAATAATTGTCTTTGGCGACTTAATTCGCTGTGGCGACCCCTGAAGAAGGGAGAAGCCGAAAGGGGAAAACAACAACAACAACAACAACAACAAAACTATAATTAATAAACCAGTGAATGCTCGTGTTTATGGCCGGCAACTTACCCACAGATATCGTCTTTAAACGCTTGTTCCAGCCATAAAGCATTATCAGAACAGGTTTTACTGCTCGACCAGTCGTGCGATAACCTTGTTCAGAAGGTTGATAAAGCGTACATCCTTCCCCTGTCGCATGAAAGATCAAGGTTTGAGCAGTGGGTTCAAGGTTGGGCTCTTTAGAAATATGTTTGCAGTAAAGCCACAGCTCTTTGGGTTCGGTCACTGTTTTGACTGTAAAGCCCACGGCTGAACCCGTTCAGGCAGGTTTTCAGGAAAAAGATCAGCCGCTGATGTTCATTTGAAATGGTTTTGGAGATAAATCCACGAGGACGTGATCTGTGCACAGCGGCAGCCTTGTCTTTATTATTTTGGTCTTTTAGCCTCGGGGACGTTCTCTCGTTCTGAGGCCTTCTGAGAACTCGTCTTGTGCTTTTAGCCTGAAGGAGAACGTCTGACGCACCAACACATTAGTCCTCTGTTTTTCAAATGAAGTGGCGGGTTTTCACTGACCATCCACAGAATCCTGGTTTATTATTTATTTTCTTCATTGTCCATGTGATCAAATATGAATCTAATGTAACTCA